GGAAGACGAGGAAGACTTGTGGTGTATCAAGTGTGTACGACGGAAGATCAGAGCCAGGCTTCATGATGCTCGCTTACAGTCACAAGCACTTGGGAGATGGAGGCAGGAGGCTCAGGAATTCAAGATCGCAGAGTGCACTCGAGGCCTAACTACAGTGAGATTCCGTAAGAGTAAAATAAACACTTTTATTTTTATTTTTTTATTTTTTGGTTTTTCGAGACAAGGTTTCTCTGTGAAACAGTCCTGCTGTCCTGGAACTCACTCTGTAGACCAGGCTGGCCTTGAACTCACTGAGATCGCCTGCCTCTGCCTCCTGAGTGCTGGGATTAAAGGCGTGCGCCACCACCGGCCGGTTAAATAAAGACTTTTAAATATCAGGGAAAAGGAGAGTCTGGCTGGTGGACTGTGCCTGTGACAATCCCAGCTATTTGAGAGGCTGAGGCAGGATTGTGAGGTTGAAGCTAGCCTGGGAAACAGAGCACACTCCATCTAACAAAGTTTAAAACATTAGGAGCTCCCTCGTAGCATGCTAAGTGTGCTTCCTGCCTGGAGTGTAGGGTGGGAGAAGAGATTCAAGGCAACATTTGGCAATGTTGCTTTTCCTTCTCTTGGGGACAGCTCAACCGTAACTTTGCCTTGTAGCCCCCGTGGTCTGGTTCTCTCCTTAAGCCACACAGTTTCCTGTGCTTATCTGTTGTCTCGATATCTTCTTCAAGCCCGGTGTGGTGGTGCATACCTGTACTCCCAGGGGTAATCTTACTTATTGAAGATTCTATTTGGTTGTTGTTTCTGTTTTCAGACACATCTCATTATGTAGCGCTGGCAGGCCTGGAACTCTCCATGTAGACCAGGCTGGCGTCAAAGAGGTTGACCTACCTCAGCCAACCATGTGCTGGAGTTAAAGGGGTGTGCCACCACACCTGGTTTTAAAGTTTATTTTACTCTTTTGATTTGTTTTTGAATTGGTTGCATTCTGTAGCCATATTGGCCCGGGATTCAATATGTAGACTAGACTGGCCTGGAACGCTTGGTGACCTTATTGTATCTGCCTCCCAAGTGTTGGGATTATAGATTACAGGTATGAGCCATTATAATTTACAGGTCATAGTTTTTGGGGTTTTTTTTTGTTGTTGTTGTTGTTGTTGTTTGTTTTTTGAGACAGGGTCTTGTGTTGTAGTCTAGGCTGCCTTGGAATCTACTGTGTAGTCCAGGCTTGTCTTCAGCTTGCCTTAGCAATCCTCCTGCCTCAATCTTTTGAGTGTTTGGATTATAGGCATGTATTACTACAAGTAGTGCTAAGGATTGAACTGGGGGGCCATGAAGAACATCTCCCATCCCCCAGTACTTTCTATCATATGTTTTTAATTAAAGCTATTTGCCCATAAACTATATGTATTCTTTTTTCACTTTAGAGTGATGATTCTGACATTTGGGATGATACGGCATTGATAAAAGCTTATGATAAAGCTGTGGCTTCCTTTAAGGTATGAAATGTTTAACCACTCTTTTCTTTAATTCCTCATGTCATACATTTGGGGTGGGGGGCTGGAACCCTGAGTAAATTGAGGCCTTCTTAGGTGATGGGACCTTGAGATCGTCTTATGGTGGTAACAGTCATGTTAGGAATGGTGACTTTTTAACAATGTATTCCTTCATAACACGCGCATTTATTTCTATTACTGTGTTCATAGCATGCTCTAAAGAATGGTGACGTTTGTGAAACTTCAGATAAGCCAAAAGGCACAGCCAGAAGAAAACCTGCTAAGAAGAATAAAAACCAAAAGAAGAGTGCCACACCTCCCCTGAAACAGGTTATTTATTTATTAAACAGGGTCTTGCCCAGCCTGAGGGAAAGGGTTGCTGATGCTATTTAGAGTGAATGAGGCTGTAAACTGAGTCAGCAGTGTTGTTTTATGAAGTTGATAGAGATGGAGAGATGATATACACACATACAATCATATATATATATATATATATGTATATATATGTATTCCTTCTGTGGTACTGAGTATTAAACCCAGAGCTCCTTGCATTCTGAGTGTGTGTTGTGTAGCTGATCAGTAACTCTACCCACCCCCCCTTCTTCCCACACAATTCAACAAT